GTGAGTATAGTACAATAAGAGAACTTGAGAGAGACACATTTATGTAACTTTTATTATAGTATATTGTTATAATTATTCTATTTTAGTATTAGCTATTGTTTATCTCTTATTGTGCCTAATTTATAAACTTTATCATTGATATGCATGTATAGGAAAAAACATATTATATATATATGGTTCAGTACTGTCCACAGTTTCAGGCATCCACTGGAGGTCTTGGAACATATCCCATGGATAAGAGGAAACTACTGTAATATTAACTGCAAAAAAGTTGCTACTTCCTCCTAGTAGAGGAATAGAATCTGGGATCCTAGGACAGGCACTGTACTCAAGAGGCTAATACAAACTGCTCACCAGAAGGAGCTGTGTGCAGCACATGGAGACCTCTGAAGGACAAGGCCGGGTCACCTGATGGGCTGAGGGAGGGAAGGGCATGAGGCTACAGAAATGCAGGCCCTGGCTTATCACAGGCAGTGGAACCTCCTCTCTTATCAAGGGTATCAGTGTTTCAAAGTGAGGAATGACAAACCTTGCTGGTGTCTGGAACACACTTAGCATTTTGCTCCGCACAGGATTTTGACCACAGAGGTAAAAGAGTTCAAATTCCGTTTTTCACAATCAGACAAATAAATGTTTGACTTAGATTCAACCAACCAACAGTAACAAAATAAGAGGAAAGTCTAGTAAAAGATAACACAGGTTAAAGAGATAATGTATCCTTAAATAATCAATTTCAATTATTAAGAAAATATACAGAATTGAAATTAACAAAAGAATCAATAAAATCAACCTAAAGAATCAATCCAAAGAATAAATAGCAGTTGCAGTACTGCAACTCCAAACTTTAAGACAACAATTCTGTATTTACTATGAGAAAGACAGATACTTTCTTAGACTTCTGTCACTGTCTCCTGAATGACTTAGCATAGGAAGTGCAGGATTGTGGAATCCCAAATATATATAAACCCTTGGAGGAGCATGTGTGTGTGTAGAGAGAGCATGCAAGTGAGTGCATGCACCTGGATAATAACTATCCATATTCTGATACTCTGATAGCACTGCTGGTGAACTGTTACCAACTGGAATGTGCCCTCTGCTGATAGGGCAGTTACTATGAGGGCAAAGAATGGCTATTAGATTTAGTAAGGTGAAGGTCACTGGTGACTTGGCAATAGTAGTTTCAGTGCAATACTGTGATTGAGAGGCTAACTGGAGTGGATTCAATAGATGGGAAACTTTTGATGATGCACAAGAGGAAAGAATTGCTGAAAAGATTTCCCCAAGCTGAGGTGGGGATATAGGGAACAACTGAAAAGGCTAGCCACAGAAGGCAATAGAGATGGCCCATTTAAGGATAACAGGCAGTGTGGATGGATACAACTGATGATAGCTGGGTAGATATAGTGGGAACCTGTGATTCACTTCCAGTTGTTTCTGTTTTATTCCTATTGACATAGCAATGCCCCATTCTGAAAACAAACAAACAAACAAACAAACAAACTTTAAGCCAGAAGGCAAACCTCTCTCTTCTGAAGTCATGGAGTTGTAATGAACTTGTACATGGGCAGTGGGTGGGAAGAGCCTCACAGCTTCCTGAAGGTGAGAAAGGCCAGGAGCAATGCTGGGCAGGAGCAATGGCACAATGATGCCATTATGCACAGTGCAGAATGCAAAGCAATGTTAGTTTAGTTTCCACTTTGTTACCACATCAAGTGTCACAATTACCAATTTTTTACTTAGACCTTGCATCCTGCAAATATGCTCTTCTAGCTACTAGAGTTAAATCTGTCAAGCTGACCAACTTTAAATATTGTACCTGAGGCCCACCTATGTAGAGCCTGTACATCTATCTTAAAAATGTTACAGGAGAACTGGTTCACAAATTTTAACTGCAACATCCTAAACCCTGATTCTATAATTAGAAGGATTAAAGTTGTCAGGATATAGTTTCTGGCCATCACCCCTCTTTAAGTAGTAAAGTTGGACAGGTCATGGAATGCCTTTAGACTACTTGTCAGGAAGAGGAACCTGTCAAGTGCTCCAACCCATTAAGAGGATTATACAGACTACCATACCTCCTCTGCGTTTGGATTTGGATTTGTGACTGTCAATAAACTCTATATACACATCAGGGGGTGGGGGGAACAGCTTCAGTCCTCTAAGTTTCATTACCATAAGCAGTTGTTTTTTTTTAATATTTTATTTATTTGAGAGAGAGAGCACACACGAGTGGGTGGAGGGGCAGAGGGTGAAGCAGACTCCCCGCTGAGCAGGGAGCCCAATTCGGGGTTTGATCCCAGGACTCTGGGATCATGACCTGAGTGGAAGGCTCAACCAGCTGAGCCACCGAGGTGCCCCACCCCATAAGCAGTTTTATGCTTAATTTATTCTGACATCTCAGGCAACTAAAAAATGTTAACTCCAATTAATGCATTCATAATTTTAGCTGATTGGTAATCTAAATGACCAAAACTGTTAGGCTGGCCCTGCACATCAACAGAGCAACCAGAGTCACATTTTTGAGGAATAAATAAAATTATCTTTATTTGCCACAATAGCAAAGAGAGGTTAACTGTAAAATTCTGCTGCTAAACATACGGAAATTGTAGTCTGCCACTGCAAAAGAAAAAAACTATTAACATAAAGATAAGAAAACTGATCTAAGTCTACTGAACGCCAGCAGCCCAACTGTTACTCATGTACCTCAGGAGTGGGCAAATTTTATCTATAAAGTGCCAGATAGTAAATATCTTAGGCTGTGCAGGCCATATGGTCTCACATATAATTACTCAACTTTGCTTGTAGGGCAAAAGCAGCAAGATGATATATAACTGAATGAGTGTGGTTGTGTCCCAATAAAACTATTTATGGGGGCACCTGAGTGGCTCAGTTAGCCCTCTGACTCAATATCAGCTCAGGTCTTGATCTCAGGGTCAGGAGTTCAAGTCCCTGCTTCGGGTTCCACGCTGGGTGTGGAGCCTACTTAAAAATATATATTTATGGACACTAAAGTTTGCATTTCATATAATTCTCACATGTCATGAACTCATCCTTTGATTTCTTTCAATCACTTTTTTCCCCCTTGTTTTAAAAAATTATTTAGTGGCGCCTGGGTGGCTTAGCCAGTTGGGCATCTGCCTTTGGCTCAGGTCATGATCCCTGGGACTGGCGCTGAGCCCCACGTTGGCTCTCTGCTTGGCAGGGAGCCTGCTTCTCCCTCTGCCTGCTACTTCCTCTGCTTATGCTCTCTTTCTCAAATCTTTTTAAAATAATTATTTAAATTCAATTTAGTTAACATAAACTGTATTATTAGTTTCAGGGGTAGAATTTAGTGATTCATCAGTTGCATATAACACCCAGTGCTCATTACATCAAGTGCCTCCTTCATGCCCATCACCCAATTACACCTTCCTCCCCCCACCTGCCCTCCAAGTAACCCTCAGTTTGTTCCCTAGAGTTAAGAGTAAGAGGCTCTTATGGTTTGCCTCCCTCTCTGTTTTTATCTTATTTTTCCTTCCCTTCCTCTATATTCATGTTTTGTTTCTTAAATTCCACATGACTGAAATCATATGGTATTTGTCTTTCTCTTACTTATTTGATTAGCATAATACCCTCTAGTTCCATCCACATCATTGCAAATGGCAAGATTTTATTTTTGATGGCTGAGTAATACTCCATTATACATATATACCACATCTCCTTGATCCACTCATCTGTTGATGGACATCTGAGCTCTTTCCATATTTTGGCTCTTGTGGACATTGCTGCTATAAACACTGAAGTGCAGGTGCCCCTTCAAATCACTACGTTTGCATCCTTTGGATAAATACCTAGTAGTGCAATTGCTGGGTCATAGGGTAACTCTATTTTCAACTTTTTTGAGGAACCTCCATTCTGTCTTCCAGATTGGCTGCACCAGTTTGCATTCCTACCAACAGTGTAAGAGTGTTCCCCTTTCTCGGCATCCTTGCCAACATTTGCTGTTCCCTGACTTGTTAATTTGAGCTATTCTGACTGGTGTGAGGTGGTATCTCATTGTTGTTTTGATCTGTATTTCCCTGATGATTTCCTCCAATCACTTTAAAAATGTAAACCAGTCTTTGATCACAGATTCAAATCTGTGATCTGGTGGCAATTTGGTCTGCAGCTAGAAAATTTCTGGTCACTGATGACCACATATCTAAATTCCAGTAAAGTTACAACATCTTTGTCTTGCTAGGAGTAGAAAGCAGTTGTTATTGACCTTCTGGGGATCAATAGACTGTTACGGTCCCTCAGCTCCTTGCTACACCTGAAAGCCATTTATATGGTATCCAAAAACCTGGAAATGCAAGTCTTCAGGAAAAGCAATCTAAGTGGACAACACATCAGCAGACCCTACAGAGTCCCCCCGGTCTTTCCAAGCACAGTCCCGACACAGGGGTCTTAAGGAATCAGGCTCCAGTTCTAACACGGCTACTCTATCTAGTAGGGTAAATATCACACCTTTGCACCCCCCTGGCATTCTGCCATCGACATGACTTCTCCCGTAACCGCAGACTCCGGATACTACACACATGCACTCACACCCCAACTTAGGGCAAGCAAAAGACCAGCGACGCTTCGGACAGCACGCAGCTCTCCATGCGCAACCCATAGCCTAACCGGAAAAGCCAACTGATTCTCGGCCTCCTTCAGGCGGCAGATGGAGCAGAAAACCTCCCCCGGGTACTTATGACACTCTCCTCACGCCAGGAGGACAACATGAAAAAAAGAGATAAGCAGAAAGAGGCTACGAAGGAAAACAGCGCTACTAATCACCCTCCACATCCAAGCTGTTCAGATAACCACTCGCCCACTAACGAAGGCGTTCCTTGATCGCACGGGTTAGACCACGATCCCGGAGTCTCGCGGCATTTTCTCAGACGCTCCAATATTGAGACCTCTCGCGGGAGTCCCGCGGGCAGCGCCGAATGGTCATGTGACCTCACGGCCCCGCCCACTTCTTCCTTGACCTCGGGCCCGCTTCACGCATGCGCGGGCGGCGGTGGCAGCAGCGAGTTGGCGCGGTGCGAGCGCGAGTGGCGGGATGGTGCTGAACCGGGTGCGGGCGGTTTTCTTCGATCTGGACAACACGCTCATCGACACGGCAGGGGCGAGTAGAAAAGGCATGTTGGAGGTAACGTCCCGACTCCCGCGGTCGTCCTCTGGGCAGGGTCAGCGCGCCCAACCCGTATCGCGCGCTTTCCTGTCCCCTTGGTGTCCTCCCACCCCCGACATTCCCACTGCCGAGTCCATCGACACCGCGCCTGGCGCTGGGTCATCCCGGAGGCACTGGCTTCTCGTCCTTTGAGACCCACCTCGTGAGGGAAGGAGCGGGAAAGAAGGACCAGTGGGCAGGGGAAACTGGCTGGGGAGGCTGCCTTCTCTCACGCCCAGCGGCTTGGGTTACCTGCCTGGCTACGCCCACGTCTGGGAAGCTGGGTTTTAGAAGTTGTTTCCAGCGCTGTGGGACCCGGGAGAATGTCGTTAAAACTGCCACGGTGGCAGAGTTGCCCACAAACATAGACGGTCACCTGGCTTTTTGCCAAGACAGGTTCGGACCAGGCTAGTGTGGCGCCAGGCTCTCCGCGGTTGGCCTCTCCACACCGCGTGGTCTTTGGCAGTGCTTGGTCTTAGGCAGATCTTTGAGGAGACCCAAGAAGTTACACAACTATCAGTGGCGAGCCTGGACTTAATTGACTCCAGAAAATTTTCTCCGCAGAAATTGACCTCCAGTCTCCCTGCTGTGGGTGTGACCCTTAAGATTTCTGAGGTGACACTCACAGCCTGTGCTTGTACAGAGCATTACTTTCATGAGGCATTATTCAGCAGCATCCTCTCCTTTCCATACCCACAAATGCTGAATCAGACCTCTTCAAGGCCCAAGTCCACCCCTGCTTGCTTTCTTCTGCCTTCAGCTCTAGGGAGAAAACCAAGGATTATCAGATGCGAAAACCCACTTTCAAAAGCTAATCCTTCCAACCCTGAGAGTCCCAACCTCTTCATGCTTCATTAGTTAGGTTTTGACTCCCTGGGTTTTTTGTTTTGTTTTGTTTTGTTTTTTTAAGCCCCAAAGGTGGGGCTGGACCGGGGCGACCTCAAGACCTGAGCCCAGGTCAAGAGTCCGATGCTTACCTGACTGAGCCACCTAGGTGCCCCAGGTTTTGACTCCTTGCATCTTCATCCTTTCTTGATGCGTTTCAGTCCTGCATATTCAGGTCTGTCCCATACTTGAAAAAATAAAAAAGGAGCCTCCTTTGAACCTTTCTTCCTTCACTAGATATTTCTCTTGACGGCCTTTTCTGTTGTTGTTTTTAATTTGAATTCAGGTTAGTTATGTAGTGTTTTATTGGTTTCAGGGAATCATCAGTTGCATAGAACACCCAGTGCTCATTACATCAGGTGCCCTCCTGCATGCCCATCATGCTATTACCCCATCCCCCACCCACCTTTCCTCCAGCAACCCTCAAGATTGTTCCCTAGAGTTCAGATTTTCTTATGGTTTGCCTCCTTCTCTGTTTTTATCTTATTTTTCCTTACTTTCCCGTTTTGTTTCTTAAATTCCACGTATGAGGGAAATCATGTGGTATTTGTCTTTCTCTGACTTCTTGAATTAGCATAATACCCTCTAGTTCTATCCATGTTGTTGCAAATGGCAAGATTTCATTCTTTTTGATGGCTGACTAATATACTCCATTGTGGTTTTGATTTGTATTTCCCTGATGCCAAGTGATGTGGAGCATTTTTTCATGTGTCTCTTGGCCATTTTCTTTGGAGAAAAGTCTGTTCATGTCTTCTGCCCATGACTGAATTATTTGGTTTTTGGGTGTTGAGTTCGATAAGTTCTTTATAGATCCTGGATACTAGCCCTTTGTCTGATAAAACATTTGCAAATATATTCTCCCACTCTGTAGGTTGCCTTTTAGTTTTGTCGACTGTTTCCTTTGCTGTGCAAAAGCTTTTTATCTTGGGGTGCCTGGGTGGCTCAGTCGGTTAAACATCTGCCTTTGTTCATGGTCAGGTCATGATCCCAGGGTTCTGGGATCGAGCCTCGCATCCGGCTCCCTGACCAGCAGAAAGCCTGCTTCTCCTTCTCCCTCTGCTGCTCCCCCTGGTTGTGCTCCCTCTCTCTCTCTGTGTCAAATAAATAAAGTCTTTTTTTAAAAAAAAAGCTTTTTCCACGTCTGAGGAAATCATCAGCACCCTAGAGACTGACTGGAAAGCAAGGACTTTGGGTGAATGCACTAAACTCTGCCTCTAGACTTGTAGCCTCCTACCTCCAGGTCCTGGGCGTGAGCCGCGGCCTCCAGCCCAGCTGTCCTTGCTGCAGACCGGCTGCCCCCAGAGCCCACGTCCTTCTATCTTGCCCATTTCTCCTGCCTCATGGGGTTTTGTGCAATTCAAGAGTTTTTCCATAAACTGACCTTGTATTAGTAGAGCCTTTAGGAGATTCTTGTTAGAAACCAAAGCTCTGAACAGTTTTTTTCCCTCGATTCCAACCCAAAGATTTATGTACCTTAATATTAATAGTTTAATCAAATTTGTGGATGGTTTCTCCCCTTTTCTTATTTGACATTCTTAGCCCTAGGTTAGCTTTATCACAGGAATGGTGATGTACATCAGTCCAATAAAATATGAAATAACCATGCTGAAAAAACAAAACAAACAAAAAAAAGCTTATCTTGGTGAAGTCCCAATACATTTTTGCTTTTGTTTCCCTTGCCTCAGGGGATGTGTCTAGCAAGAAGTCAAAGAGGCCAAGGTCAAAGAGATTGCTGCCTGTGTTCTCCTCTGGGATTTTGATGGATTCCTGTCTCACATTTAGGCCTTTCATCCATTTTGAGTCTATTTTTGTGTGTGGTATAAGGAAATGGTCCAGTTTCATTCTTCTGCATGTGGCTGTCCAATTTTCCCAACACCATTTATTGAAGAGACTGTCCTTTTTCCATTGGATATTCTTTCCTGCTTTGTGGAAGATAATTGACCACAGAGTCGAGTCCATTTCTGGATTCTCTGTTCTGTTCCATTGACCTATGTGTCTGTTTTGTGTTGACGGCAATATTTTTCAAAAGAAATCTATATACATTATCTCCACGTCTCCACCTTTTATATATTCCTTAATCCCTTGACATATAGCTTCTCTTTGTGCTACTTAATGAAATAGACTTGCCAGGTCATTGGGCACTTCCCAAATTGCCAGAGTCAATGGACATTTTAAGTCTGTATTAATGACTTTGCTGAGGTATTGCATACTATTGACTATCCCTTCCATTTGCATACCCTTGACCTTAACCTCATGGGCACCACCCTGTGCTGTATTGTCTCCAGTCTCTCTAGCTGTCTTGTGTTCTTGGCAGGTCAAGCCCAGTATATTGAAATTAAATTCTTTTTTTTTTTTTTGAAATTAAATTCTTGATTTAGGCCAAATCATGCTATAGCCTAGAGTTCATGTGTTAAAATCAGGCATTTGAGTTTGAATCACAACTCTCCCAATACCTAGCTGAAAGTGCCTGAACAAGTTCCCTAAACTGTCTAAATCTTAAATCCTTATTTAAAAATTTGAATGGTGATATTAGTCCTCAGTGTCCTTATGAGGTTTAATTGAATGCATGGGAAGTATATAGCATCCAAGCGTAAACTCGATGAATTGTACCATCCACCCTGTCACCCAGTCTGTCCCCTCCTGCATATCCACCCCCCACCACCACCCTTATCTTAATTAAAGGTGTACTTGTCTGTCACCTAGACGATTGCTGTGGTGGTGTCTCCAAGCTTACTGTGTCCAGTTCATCCTCCACGTTCCTGCCAGAGTGAAATTTCTGAAAAAAAGTCAGAGCGTATTTCTCCCTAGTCTTTACACCCTTCCTTATACCAACACTGTATTTTGTTCAAGATATCTTAAAATATACTTATCAAAGGATATTACAATTAATTTTTGCAATTCAGATGCCTGCAACTTAAGAGCTTCTTAAGAGGAAACAAACCATCTTGGTCATATTCATTTGATACATGGTAAATATTAAATGAATAATGGATGAATGGATCAAAATCCAGGTCTTCAGACTTGGTTCGGTTGCCACCTCCTTTATAAACATCCTATTAAACGAGCAGAATTGAGTTGTGTGCTTTTGACTATACAAGGAGTGCTTTATCATGTAAGAATACAATACCATCTGGGGAGCCTGGATGGCTCAGTTGTTTAAGCATCTGCCTTTGCTTTAGGTTATGATCTCGGGGTCCTGGGATTGAGCCCCGCATTGGACTCCCTGTTAAGCGAGGAGCCTGCTTCTCCCTCTGCTCATGCTCTCTCTCTCCCAAATAAATAAATAAAATCTAAAAAAAAAAAAGAATACAACACCATCCATAAATGTTGGCCTATTTAAAAGTAACATACCAGCTTTCATAAATACTCTGATTTATGAAAGGAAAAAGGGAGGAAAGGTCTAGTCATTGCCTTGTGCTTGGGGAGAAGGAGCCATATACTGACTCTATATATCCATTTAATTTTTTTTAATCTTCTGGAAAAGTTACTTCTTTCTGCCATCTTCAGGCCTTTCTTTCAGGGTCACTACCCAAGAGGAAGCTGTCCACAGAATTTGGGGTTTCTCAGTGAACAGAGCAGAAAAGATTTCTGCATTTGTGAGTTTACTTTCTAGTGGTGGTTGATCATGAACATAATACATCAAATGTATGTTTATTTATAAGTATATTCAGAAAAGTGGAGAGGAGAATGAATTGCAGTTTTAAATAGGTTGGTCAGGTAAGTCACATGGAGTAAATGATGTTTGAAGAAAGACTTGGACTAAGTACATGAGGGCTGCTTGAATTGTTAGGCTATATGTAGGCAGTCATAGTGAGCATGTAATTTTTTTTTAAAGATTTTATTCAGGGGCGCCTGGGTGGCTCAGTCGTTAAGTGTCTGCCTTCGGCTCAGGTCACGATCCCAGGGTGCTGGGATCGAGCCCCGCATCGGGCTCTCTGCTCAGCGGGAAGCCTGCTTCTCCCTCTCCCACTCCCCTTGCTTGTGTTCCCTCTCTTGCTGTGTCTGTCAAATAAATAAATAAAATCTTTTAAAAAAAATAAAAAATAAAGATTTTATTCATTTATTTTAGAGAGAGTGAGTGCAAGCGTGGGGAGGAGCAGAGGGAGAGAGAGCATCCCAAGGGAACCCCACACTGAGCGTGGAGCCTGAATGGGGCTCCGTCCCAGGAACCCGAGATCACAACCTGAGCTGAAATCAAGAGTCAGACGCCCAACCAACTGAGCCACCCAGGTGCCCCTGTAAGCATGTATTTTTAACTCAGTTTTATTTGGAATTCAGCCACTTCATATCATATCATAGTGTTACAGTATTATATAGTTCCTACACTAGCTCTCAAAGAGTGTTTAAATCACAATTAGCTAAAAACTAGTACTGATGATAGTTATCTTTAATTCTGGGTCCAGAGAGCAGGTTGGAAGGATATAGTTTCCTTTCTGTATCAGTTAAGATGAGACTTAGAGTTTTGAAGTAGAAGCTTGAGTTTATCTTATCTACAAATTGATCTCCCCCTTCTCCCCTTCACTATCTTAGGGCCCTTTTCTTCAGGCCCCTAGGTACCTGGTGGGCTTAATTGTACTCAGAATCCTTTTCAAGCCGCCTTATCCCTTGCACAAAATGTCATCATACCTCCAGATTAGAGATCATTTTCCTCCACCCCCAATTCAATCAAAATTCCTATTTTCTCAGTGCAGGGATTAGGATTGTTTATACTAGTAATAATATGAACTAATTCAAGTTAGGTGTTTTTTGTTTTTATTGAAGTATAGTTGATACACAATGTTACGTTAGTTTCAGGTGTACAACAGTGATTCTCAATAGGTGTTATTTCTGTTTTAATAATATGTAAATGGCTGATAAAGTTTTTCCCCAAATATGTTAATATTAAAATGCTACCTGGGGGCGCCTGGATGGCTCAGTCGGTTAAGCAACTGCTTTCAGCTCAGATCCGAGCCTTGCATCAGGCCCCCTGCTCAGCAAAGGAACCTGCTTCTCCTCCTCCTTCTGCTGCTCCCCCTGCTTGTGTGCTCTCTCTCTCTCTGTCAAATAAATAAAATCTTTAAAAAAAATGCTACTTGTGATCCCAATTGAATCTGCAATTAGTTGCTGTGTGAAAAAATGGAAAAGTTAAATCAGAGGATATAATGGGAAGAAATTTCAAAACTTGAAAGTGGTATGCTATACCTTTACAAGACTCTTCCCTTTAAGGTGAGCTAATTCTGTTTTTTCAGAGCCCTAAAAACGTGAAATGAATTGCCAATTGCAGGAACAGGAAATTGGACAGTTCTGGGAGCTCTCTGTTGGCTATGAGCCAGCTCCTATTTAAGCTTAAGCACTGTGGATTTCTAGAGGCCTGTGTTCTTTTATTGTGTAGCAATAGGTTTGCTAATAAAACTTTAGGGTAACCTTCCATCATAGCTCAAGAGTAATTTTTTTTTTAAAGATTTTATTTATTTATTTGACAGAGACACAGCGAGAGAGGGAACACAAGCAGGGGGAGTGGGAGAGGGAGAAGCAGGCTTCTGCTGAGCAGGGAGCCCAATGCAGGGCTCGATCCCGGGATGCTGGGATCAGGACCTGAGCCGAAGGCAGACACCCAACGACTGAGCCACCCAGGTGCCCCAGCTCAAGAGTAATTCAACTGACATTGTTAGAAAAGATGGTGACATGCGCATGGAGGCTGTAAAAGCTCGGTTTGTTAACTGAAATTTAACTTTGCCTTCCCCTAAAATTCTTAGGAATGGTGTATTTTTCTTGAAGAAATAAGACTTCTTAACTATTGCATTTTTTTGAAGAGCACAAATAGCCTGAACAATATTTACTTTTGATGTGATTCTTATACTTTTTTTTTTTAAGATTTTATTTATTTATTTGACAGAGAGAGACACAGAGAGGGAATGCAAGCAGGGGGAGTAGGAGAGGGAGAAGCAGGCTTCCCACCAAGCAGGGAGCCCATGCGGGGCTGGATCCCATGACCTGAGCCGAAGGCAGACGCTTAACAACTGAGCCACCCAGGTGCCCCAATGTGATTCTTATACTTTGAAGGAGGAAAAATGTGTCTATTAATCTCTTTCCCCTTTTCAGTAGGTGAATTGAGTGTCTGGTGTGAGTAGCATACTTCTTGTTCCCTGTATAGTTTAGGGCAACATATTTTAACTTGTTTGACCTCCTTGCTTCAGCAGCAGACAGTTTTTAGTCCCAGCTACGTGCATTACACTCATTATCCAAAGATCCAAAGTTGTCTTGGCATTGTCAACTTTCCCCAGATGTCCCTAAGATAGGGACTTCAAATGCAGGTAGTCCATTTGGGAGGTGATCCTTGCAAGTGCTGTAGAAGAATGGTGGAATCATACAAGGAAGGGAGGGAATCTAATAAATGAGCAGGTTACTGGTGTGAACAGTTGGGGAACTCTGGGAGACAGCATACAGAGCATGCTTCAGTTGTCCCTCCCAAGGGACAAGAAAGCTGGGATATTAATCTACCAATTTGTGCCCCTCATTGGTTGAGGCCCACTTCCAGGGCAACACTTCAGCCCCAGCTTGTGTGCATGGGTGTGCCCATGGTCAAATAAAGCCCTTGGTTACTTAGAGTATGAAGCCCAATTGGCATTACAGTATCACTTAATAGTATGAAGCCACTGGCATGTATGGAAACTGTGTGCCAAGGGGACTTGGGTAGCATCTATAGCAGCGTGGGATTGAAGGCCCTTTACTAACCAGTTGCAAACATGCTCTTCAGCCTCCTCTTTTAGGATCCTCCCTCATATGCCTTCCATTTCAGCTTGAAATCAGCTTCTCACCTTTCCCAGTTCTCAAAATTCTAAGCTCCGTAGCTTTGTTCTTGCTATTCCTTCTGTCTAGAATGATTTCATTCTCCTCCCAGGCCCACCTTCTAGGCTTGGTAATACCTTGGTTTAAATGTTACTTTCTCAGGGTGCCTGGGTGGCTCAGTCCTTAAGCATCCACCTTCAGCTCAGGTCATGATCCCAGGGTGCTGGGATCAAGCCCCACATTGGGCTCCCTGCTCAGTGGGAAGCCTGCTTTTCCCTCTCCCACTCCCTCTGCTTGTGTTCCCTCTCTCACTGTCTCTTTGTCAAATAAATAAAATCTTTAAAAAAGTTAGAAAAAAAAGCTACTTTCTCTGCCAGGTCTTATCCAATAACCCTGTGGAATGACTTGCTTCTTACATTTTATTTCCACCGTTGTTTAGATGACTGTCATAGCACTCAACCCAGCATTTATGTTGGTTGCATACCTGCTTATTTCCCCCCCCAGATAATGTCATGAGGGCAACAGACCCAGTCTCCACTGCCTAATACAATAGTGTAAAGGTAAGCACATGTGCTTTGGAAGTAGGCAAGTGTGGATTTAAATCCCAGCTTGGGCAAGTTACTTAATAGTTCTGAATTTCCATTTCCTCATTTCAAAAAGGGGAGTGCCTCGCAGAGTTGTGGAAAAGGTTAGAAATAATATATGTGAGCATTAGGCACAATGCTTGCCACATTAGGGTTTCTGTAAATGTTAAAAGAGGCCAAATGGAAAAGAACCTAATATAATAAAAGCCGAGATAAAAAGTCGGGGGAACACAAGAGGGAGCGTGTAATTCTAACAAGGGAGTCAGAACCAATGTAACAGAGGGTGACTCGAACTCCTTGAAGTTTTTTATCTGGAAAACTAGGTTTGGAAAAAGCCCTGGGTCATTAAACTGCTGAAATCATGGAACATGCTTGATTCTTTTTTTTTTTTTTTTAAGATTTTATTTATTTGACAGAGACACAGCGAGAGAGGGCACACAAGCAGGGGGAGTGGGAGAGGGAGAAGCAGGCTTCCCACTGAGCAGGGAGCCCGATGCGGGGCTCGATCCCAGGACCCTGGGATCATGACCTGAGCCAAAGGCAGACGCTTAATGACTGGGCCACCCAGGCGCCCCAACATGCTTGATTCTGTTAGAACTGAATACATGTTTTTAAAAGTACAGAATTAGGTCCCATTTTATATGGTGGTCAGTTTAGGCCTTCAAAACGTAAAATGGGTGTAGATAAAAGGATGAACCAGCATTATTTTTGGGAAGAGTCTATATAATGGTTGTGAGGAATTTAAAATGTTTTACTAAATTTAAACCTAGGTTTTATTTCTATTTCTTCATAACCAGAATGGAAGGTGGTAGACTGCCAAATGAAGGGTTTTTATGACCTATATCTGAAGATACTTCTTAGAATAGAAATCGGTCAGGCGCCTGGGTGGCTCAGTTGGTTAAGAGACGGCCTTCAGCTCAGGTCATGATCCTGGAGTCCCTGGATCGAGTCCCGCATCGGGCTTCCTGCTCGGCAGGGAGCCTGCTTCTCCCTCTGACCCTCCCCCCTCTCATGTGCTCTCTCTCTCTCATTCTCTCAAATAAATAAATAAAATCTTTTTTTTAAAAAAAAAGAAAGGAATCCCTTCCAAAAATCATATTTAAAAAAAAAGAATAGAAGTCAGTCAAAAATATGAATGAGTGGTGTAGAGAGATTGGGAAATCTTCCCTCTGATATTCTTTGAAAATGAGACCAATTCCCACCAGAAATGGTGTGGTAACAGAGCTGCCTTAAGGCAGGCACATGGAGTTGGAATCTCTACTCTGGCATTATAGGAACATGGCTTGGCTTCTCAGAGCATGACTATAAAAGACCTGAAGTGTGTTAATGGAGTTTTCCTTTATTTAGGTGATAAAGCTCTTACAATCAAAATACCATTACAAAGAAGAGGCTGAAACCATTTGTGACAAAGTTCAAGTTAAACTCAGCAAGGAATGTTTTCATCCTTCCAGTACATGCATTACTGACCTAAGGACTTTACACTGGGAAGAAGCAATCCAGGAAACAAAGGGTGGTGCAGCCAATAGGAAATTGGCTGAAGAATGTTATTTCCTGTGGAAATCTACACGTTTACAGCATATGATACTAGCAGAAGATGTTAAAGCCATGCTCACTGAACTTCGGAAGGAGGTCCGCCTACTTTTATTAACAAATGGAGACCGACAGACCCAGAGGGAGAAGATCGAGGCTTGTGCCTGCCAGTCCTATTTTGACGCTATCATTGTAGGTGGAGAGCAGAAAGAAGAGAAACCAGCACCTTCCATATTTTATCACGGCTGTGATCTCCTCGGAGTACAGCCTGGGGACTGTGTGATGGTTGGTGACACGTTAGAAACAGATATACAAGGAGGCCTCAATGCAGGGCTGAAAGCAACAGTCTGGATAAATAAAAATGGAATAATGCCACTGAAGTCATCCCCCATGCCACATTATATAGTTTCTTCTGTGCTAGAGTTACCTGCTCTCTTACAAAGTATAGATTGTACAGTCAGTATGTCAGCTTAAGGCACATAAAAGGGCATGATTTTGTATTTTTAGGGTCAAATTACAGGTTTTGAACTAAGAAAAGTTAAGGCATTCCATATACTAAGACCCAGTTCTAAGAATAATTTTACTTACGATTAATAGCCAATCAACCACTGACTGGTATTTATATCTGGAAATCCAGAGTACCTTAATTAATACAAGTTACTTTTAGTAGTATAATCCAGAAAACTTGAGGAAATATATTATTTGTTAATCTGTGACTTGAGGTTTTTAAAAAATTATTAGTCTTTTAGCATCTTGGATCCATGAAGATACCAGGCAAGATAGCTTATACATGGATGCACAAATACAGGTTTTATGTTGTGTCTTAAAAATAGATATTTTTTTAAAATAGATATTCTAAAACATATATAATAGAGATTTATCAGAACAATTGGATCTGATTAATAGGAAATAAGTGCTAAGTCACATGCCAATCAAGGCACTCCATAGTGAAATTATTTTGCATATTTTCTTTTTTAAAAGATATATACCATATTTTTGCCTACTTTGAATATATATGTTCTTTTATGAATCCAGTTTTTCTGCATGACCTTTTTTTGGGTGCAGGGGGGCATTTTCCTATGGTATATACGTGACAAATAGATTTCTCCAGTAAAAAAGCCATTAAAACCAACATGTGGTGCTCCTTTTCCATGGCAGTTTCACATCTTTCCAGAGTGCACTTGTAGGTTCTTATTAGTCTTTACCTCTTACAGAAGTATTTTTACAATCTTTTCCCAGGTATACAATTGGGTTCAGGGGACTAGACTGCCTGGCTGGGGATAAGTACAAGCCACATGGCACCAAAAGTCATTTTCCTTCTGTGGATACCTCAGAGGTGCAGCCTAACCATGTAGTCTCCCATAAATTCTCTACTGACTGAATAGTTTCACCCATATGATGAAAGCTAATAGAAAATTATGTTTTGCTATGAAATAATTTCAGGGTGCCATTTTAATATAATTTAAGTGGCTCTTGGTGTGATGTCCCCTGTCTTTCAAATTTTAGGAAATATATCCTGTTTCACAGTTTCTATATCCAATTCAGTGTTCACTTTGAGTTTATTAATTAATGACTAAGACATCTTGCAACTAGAAAACTTTCTAGGCCATTAAGCTAGACATTCTCATGTCTTCACCAACTTGGAGTAAAATGGTTAAGGAAAAAAATGATTTGGGTTGGTTTTTGGCAGGTTTTTTTTTTTTTTAACTTTTGTATAAGAAGCTACTAATGTAAAATATTAGACTGTTAGAATATATATAGCTATGACTCCTTTAAATATCCTATGATTATGATACTTAGATTCTAGAGTATGCCTATCCTTAACTTATTTCTTTAGCCAGTCATTTCCTGCCTATTGCCAAGAACAGGATTCTCTGCTTTTGTGCAAATGTCCTGTTGTGTTTACTTTTCACTCTTAATTTTTACAACTGTGATTGTGTCCTTGACTGTCCCAGGGTGTTGTTGCTATGAAGCTAAACATTTGTGAACAGGGTATGTTTGTGTATAGTTTCAGGTATGGTACCCATGTGACCTTGATTATATTTTAGCTATTTAAAAATTATTAAATTGGAGGATCTAGGCAGAAAAATAATTGTATGTGGTTTCTCTGATATATTGATGTGTGATGCTGAGGGTTTGTCCTTTTAGCTATCCCAAAGGATGGATGTAGGCAATGTCACATTCACTCTGCTAACTGGAGAAGGTTCATTGCTTCTAGATCATAATGACAGACCTCAGCAAGATAGTTCCTAGGATGTCAAGTGAGCAGTTCTTCAGCAAAAGTTATGGGGTGGGGGGTGTGGCTTGTTTCCTTGTTCTTCCAGTTTGCATTTGGTACATGCAGTAATGCAATATTGCATTCCATTTGCACCCTTCCTTGGAGAAAAACTTGGTGGTTTTCTACCTTCCAAGTGGAACGTTAAAGAAGATATTAAGAAATCTTGGGATAGACCTATGATTTTATTAATGTTTTTGTTTTTAGAATAATATTTTTCAAGATTAAAAAAATGATGTAATAATAGTATCCTATCATCTTTATTTTTCTCAGTTTTCCATAGTGGTATGCTTTACAAAGCCCTAAATTCTTAATTGTCCAGAGGCTATCCCAAGCATCAGTTATAGAGGAAGGCCTAGAGTAGACAAAAATGGACACTGCACCTGGAATACTAACACAAAGATGGATGTTTCTGATTCCATATACACATGCAACCCACTGGTGCACAAATATCTTAGATCTGATCGTAACCAGGACCCAGTGGATGTTCAGTAAGTATTGTAGGAAAGGGTTTTTGTAGTTACAAAGGTACTTGGTTTAGCACTTTCAGACTTCTTTGTAACCTGCAGTAAGTTTCCATCACCACCCATTAAGCACATTTATTAATAGTGAATACTGGGGCACCCAAGTGCCCAGTCAGTTCAGCATCTGCCTTCAGCTCAGGTCATGATCTCAAGGTCCTGAGATGGAGTCCTGCATTGGGCTCCCTACTCAGCGGGGAGTCTGCTTCTCCCACTGCCCCTCCCCCTGCTTGTGCTCACTCGCTCGCTCTCATACTCTCAAATCTATACTGAACATATTAGCTACTATATATTAAATACAGTTTAATATATAATTTATATATTAAATACAGTATTAATATAAATACTATATGCTAAATACAGTTTTATATATTTACTATGTAAAACTATATACACTATTATATAGTGTATATATATAATATCCAGAATGAATATATATATAATATATATATATAATATATATATATAATATAGAGAGTGAATGTGACACTGCTTACATCCATCCTGTGGGATAGCTAAAAGGACAAATGCTCAGCATCACACATCAATATATTAGAGTATTCTATATAACACTATTACATCATTTTTTAAATCTTGAAGAAGAATATTCTAAAAGCAAAAAACAAAAACAATAACTGAGGCAAGTTTTATAAAACTGCTTGCCATACACGATCAGTTTTTTTCACTCCACCTTTTTAAATTAGGGAATGTATTCACATTTGAACAATTACTTTTTGTAGTACACAAGTCAAAAGAATGAAAAGGTGAATGGCAAAGTCTCCTCTTTCCCAGAGGTCCACCACTCCTATAAGCCACTGCTGTGAGCAACTTCCTGTGTATCTGCATATATAGGTACATATGACTATACAGAATTCCTCTTAATTTAGGTAGGTTTTTTATTTCTGCTTTTCAGTTTTAGAAAAAAAAAAAATGCTCTTGCTAAGATACTGACTGAAATAGAGAGTCCTAAAACTTCTGTTTAAGTCATTCATGTTAGGAATGTATACCTTTATGGACTCTGCCATCCACTGTCGTTCTTGTTAACATCATCAATAAAAGTGATGGTTCCCTTGATGTTCCCTGTTCCTATCATTCACTTTGAGGGGAAGGTCAGCACAGCTATGGAGCCCTTGCCCTGCTCCACTCTGATGTGTTTTCTTCCACTTGCTGCATATTGCCATCCTAGTGACTCCCTTTGCCTCTTACCTTGGATTTCCTGGTTTTGTCCTGCATGTTCCCATGTTTCATTTGTTCCCTCTTTTTGGTGGCATGCCTCTTTGAGTAGGTTCTCTAAATGTGTGTGAGAGGTCAAATGTTTAAGATCATAAGTGTCTGAAAATGCCTTTACTCTTCTCCCATCATTAACAGTTAACAACATGCATTTGGATGTCATTTTCATTCGGAATTTCAAAGGCACTGCTCTGTGGTCTTCTAGCAGCCATACTTACATGATCAGTTTTTTCTCTCCTGAAGCTCTTAGAACTGTAGTTTTCCCCCAGTGGTCCATGATGATACATCTTGGTGATGGTCTGTTTTCATCCTGTGTGCTTGGCACTCTGAACCCTTCTGATCAAAATCTTAATATTATTCAGTCTCCTGGAAAATGTAATTACTTCATTGAAAATTGCTTCCCCACTGTTTTTTCCTGCTTTCATTTTCTGTAACTCCTACTATTCAGATGATGGACCTCCTCTCTTTTCTCTCCTATTTTTCCATCTCTTTTTGTTCCACTTTGGGGGCGGCTTCTTCAACTATATCTTATAGTCCTATTGATTTTTCCCCCGTTAATCATATTTTTTAATTTCCAAGAGCTTTGTTTTGTTTTCTAAATGTTCCTTTTTAATAACACTGTTTGTTTTGAGTGAAATATTGTCTCTGAGAAAATTAAGTTTTTGAAGAATCCACAGAATCCACTATTTCTTCCAAGTTGCTCTAATCCGTTTATTTGGATCTATTTGTTCACATTAAAGGCTTTCCTCACATACCCAGAAATCCTTGGTATTCATGAATAAGAGGAAGGATGAAGATGCTGACTGGAAGCTCTGCACAAGTGGGTGGGGCTTGTCAACTTGGTGGCTCTTTTACTATAGGATATCAGGGTAGGGTGTTCATTGGAGAACCCCTGAGATCACCATTTTAAGCTCCTTGCTTTTGGTTGGTCTGATCCTCTAGAGAATTGCTCAGTCTCCTGACTGAAGGGTAGAGGTCTGATGTCAGCACCTAGGAATTGAGTGGGAAAGAGGTATTCGTATAGTCACTTAATATCTGTTTCTGGTTAATTCTGTTTCTAATTAAGCCCAATTATATGTGCTATCCCCCAGTTTAGACATCCTCTGTTTTACTCTCCAGAGTAACATCCCAACTTCTCTGGAGTTAGGACTTCAGGGTGGGGTGGGGGCAGGAATTGTATTTTGAACACTTTTTACCCCAACCTCCTTAATTCAACTCCCCATCACCCTTCTCCTTAAGGCCTGGCATCTGGTAGTGTTTGTGCCTAAATTTTTGGACGAATCTACTATGTACCTAACCTCATGGCTTCTCAGCTCCTCCCACTGTTGGTCCAGACTCTGCTTTCCTGGGTCTACTAATTATTTGCCACTTGTCCACGTTTCCAGCTTTCAAAATTTTGTTGGTGCCTGTTTTCCTGGTGTGTATGTGTGTGTGTTCAGATTCCTTTACTATGGTTTAGTTGAGTTTGGGGTAGAAACAATATTAGATGTGTAGTTCCTTGTATAACAATATGGAAGATGTTTTCTGTTTCATGTTTAATGTAGGTGGAGACCACAAAATCAGTCCTGTGCCCCATAGTCACTATCCACAGCTTAAGAAATGCTGTCCATTTGAGGTGGAGATTTGCAGCATGCCTATAGCCTTTTTCTTCCTTTTAATTTTGTTTTGAATTATGTATGCAGCTTATTTCTTAAGATCTCTTCCTCAACTCCCTTTTTCTCTATATTCTTGTATATGACATTTTGGCTTGTCTCATGATGGTGGGTCTCGTTCTGTGTTCCTGAATTTTCAACATTGCTTGGACATCGATACTTGTTTTGATTGACAACTCTGTTCCTATGATCACTTCTAAGCTATAGTCTCTTAGATTTCTTTGTAATTAAAATCCTTCTGAAGGGGGGGTACATGTGATTTATGCTTTTAAAAAATTAACTTACTCTAGGGCTCAAAAAACGTATTTTTAATCAGTCTTCCAATATGTAACATATATGACAATATAGTTATTTCCACTGGATTTCTTGGAAGATTTTTTTCTGGAGTGTCAGTCTGACCTTTTATGATGGATAAGATGATAAAATGGCTTAAAGAAATTGTTCATGATTTTACCGAAATGGGAAAAAGAGTGACTGCTTATGGGTATAGAGTCTCCTTATGGAATGACAAAAATATTCCAGAACTAGATAGTGCTGATAGTTTGTGAATGTACTAAATACCCCTAAATTGTACAATTGTAAGTGATTTAAAACTTAAATTTTTTTATGGTTTATTTGTTGGTGTATATCACCCATATTCCACTTGCTGAGTTTCTAACAGATGTAGATTTAGTTTTTTTGCATATCTCCCAAGCTTGAAATCTGTCCTTAAAAATTTAACAAATAACAGTAAGATACACTTTGAAAACCACACACACAGTGCTCCACTAAGTGTCCAGCAGATGTTGGTAAAAATGGGACAGTTCTCCCCTGAAAACAACTCTCTCATTAGATTTAACTCCTTAGAATGAGCAAATTTTGTGGGAATTTGGTGGGTTAACTCCTCGCTCTAAGAATGATAAACAACGCCGAGCCAAAGTAAGAGCAATGGGTATGCTGCACACTGAGGCTGGTGAAATAACTTGTGCAGGGTCCTGCCATGTGAGAGCCTAGCCATACTCACTCCCAGGGCCACCATATTCTCTGCTTGCCCCCAGTGAAGTGCTAGATATTGTGGCAGGTTATGTAGAGAAAGAGAACACATGTGGGGGGAGGGGCAGAAGAAGAGGGAGAGAATCTCAAGCAGACTGCTGAGCGGGGAGCCCAACATGGGGCTTGATCCTAGGACCCCAAGATCATGACCTGTGCCAAAACCAAGAGCCAGATGCTTTAAACACCTGAGCCACCCAGGTACTCTGATACTGTAGCAGGTTAAAGAAAGCAAGGATCGCATTTGGAATACCAACAGATACGAACGCTAAGGAACTTAATAGGAAATACATGTGCAACCAGTGAGCTGAACAAGGATGACACTGGAATGTAATCAAAATGAAACTTTTCTGTCACCTATTGTCCTTTAATATTGACACAGGTGGGGAAGCTTTCTCCTGCCAGTGGATGAAGACTAGATGAAAACTCCAGGCTCCAGGCTTTTCTGTTCATTCCTAGGAAATAGTCCTAGGATCACTTTAAGTCACAGTCTTGATTCAGATGTGTAAATGGATCCTCCCTGTGTGATGAAGTAGTTTTCTTTTGCACTCCTCTGTTCCTGAGCAGAGGGGAGGTGTGGGAGGTGGACAGGGAGGTTCTCACTCGGTCAGAGCCTGCTGCTGTCCTGAGTTGGCTCCACAGCCTAAAGGTGCAGCAGGCTTTCACACCTCACTACCTTGTGGGAACTCACAGGAGCTTTTCAGAGCCCCTGCTGGACTCCTGCATCTGCTGCTTCTGGTCCCCTTCTCCAGGAGGCTGCCCCACCAGCCCCGCTTCTCGCAGACCTCTCCACCACTATCACTAGTGACATTCCCTTCCTTTCCCAGGCAGTGCTCCTGGGAAGGGTTCTAACTGGTTCCAGGTCAGCCTCTCTCCCATGTCCTTGCCCCACTGTCAGTGAGAAGTAGGTTACACCCACCCACAGCCCTCTCCTGTCCTTGACTCCCCTGCCACAACCCCTTGAACTCGCATGCTTTCTGCAGGAAATGTGTGTCACCCTCTCTGAGTTTTACACTGCATCTCACTCTCCAGGTTTGAGGTTAAGGAGGTAGTTCCTCTACCACCCCATAAGGAGATGGGACTCGGGCTGCAGAATCTCTCTCCACAGAAACTCCATTATTCCCTTCCACCTCCAGCTCCACTTTCTCTACTCTTCATATTGTAAAGTGAGTGGGAGAGCTCAGAAGTCAGGAAACAAGCGCTGGACTAACTACCTTGAACACTCTACCAGGGAGCCCCACAATAAGTTTGGTATCTGATGTCTGCTGCTTAGATCACAGCTTCGGTTTTGACATCCTGGTATACAAGCAAGGCGTAAGGTACAAAATCGAACACTTCCTAGAAGAACATCAGGTAAGGGAGCTACTGTGCAGTGGCCATGGATCTTAAGGTAGGTATTGAAGGAAGCAAAATATCTGCTCTGGGCAAAGAAGGGAGAGAACATTTGCAGAGAACAACATTTCAGTTTAACAGAAACTTATTGGACCCCTACTGAGCGCCAAGCATTCTAAATCTGCAGAAAAGGAAAGTGATCAGCCTGGTTGGAGAAAGGAGTCTGAGTAGGGATGGTGAGAAATGAAATTTGGATATGTAGGATGGGCAGTCAAAAGCAGGCTGTGAATATGAGGCTGGGAGTACGGAGAAAATTGTCATCAACATGGTAGAAAAGGAGGTGGTGAGGCTTATGTATATGTTTATGGATTTGTGTGCATGTGTGTAATGGGGTGCGTGAGCAGGTGTGGGTATGGGGTGAAAATATATAAGTGTAAGTGCATGCAGAAGTGTATGTCTGAAGTAGATTGGGTATGTATAGTGTATGTGTGCATATCTGTAGAAGGGGTGTGTGTGTCTGTGCATAGTGAGGTCTCTGTGTGGTGGGGAGCACTTATAGAGGGTTGTGTGGGTGAGTATGTATGGCTCTGTGTTTGGGAGTGTGTACATAATGGGCTGCATGCACGTGTATATATGCAAGTAGTGGGGTGTGTGTAATGGTGTGCATGTATAGGGAGTTTGCATGTATGCAGTGGGGTTTGCATGTAAATAGAATTTGTGTAGGGGTGTGTGTGTGAGTATTGTATGTGCTGAGTACTGTGGTATACATTTGTGAAGTATGTGTAATGGGGTGCTTATGTGTGTGTGTGATTAATGGGTATTTGTGAGTAG